CAGGTTGGGACAGAATGGAGGAGAGAGACCAGTGCAAGAGACTCTGTGCAAGAAAAATCAGCAAGACTGAATGAGTGACTGGTCAAGGAAAGCCATGAGACAAATAGTACTGACCAGTTGGTATTGATATAGACAGAGGAAAGGAAGGGAAGTTGGATAAAGGGGAAGCTGGTTTTGCAGGGAAGAATTTACTTTCACTGTTAGGAGTAGAAATATTTCTCCTAGAAAACTCTGCTTCTGGGATACACTGAAACATGACTAGAATGGCTGCAGTGTTAACCTTCCCTGCAAAATTCCTTATTTTTACAAACTTGAAAGATTTTTTAAACATCTTTAATATTTAAATCTGTATTTTAGGATAGAACAACAAAATTCTTATGTACTTAAAAATAATCATGCCAAAACCCACATGTAGGAGATAGGTGGTTCTAAATTCACAGTTATATGAGAATAGAAATTTGTATTTACTATCTTCTTTCTATATAAACAGAATATTTGGTAATAAGTCAATAACCTTTTATGTTAGTAAATATTTAAATTTATTTAGGAGTATCAGTGTAGAGTATCCTATTTACAATGTATTATAAATGTGAAAATAACATGAGATAATTATCTTTTTTTACTTATTTTAACTATATGATAATGGCCTTTTTGGCATATGTGTGCTGTGGGTGACCCTTATTCAGACATTCTTTAGAAATGGACTTTGGAATAAAAGTTGGTAAACTACCTCTCATTTAGACCATTGGAAAAAATATGTTACATCACTGTCCAGCCATGTCTACTTAAATGAAATATATTTGTTTGTAAAGCAGTAACAATAAAAAGCCTGTCTGGGTTTGTGTCATTTTCTACTTCAGTTGTAGAAAAGGGCACCATGTTGAAATACTCGGAGGCTGGTCAGTCTCTGTAATCCAGAAGGGAGGGTGCCCAACCCACCATTTCATTTCACGTGTTGTTTTTCAGGAGATGGCTGCAATCAGTCACCTGGCATATGGTTTGAAAAAGGCTTGTCTCACTGGCAAGCAAACTGTTATTTAAGTACACAATCCACTCTACTACTGAAACAGTTTTGCCAAAGTTACCCAAGTATTCTCACATGCTTAAAGATGGTATAAATATCATTTATAGCTAGCAGTTTTCTTCAGACTATATGGAATGCCTTCCTGCTGCCTGATCTAAGTGTCCCAGTTTACATTATGGCCTTTACTGCCTCTGTTTGATGGAGTGATCAGTAAAAATTTAATGACACTATAAAATAATAAAAATGTCATTAATTTACCACAGATCTTGGATGCAGTGGTTGTAAAGTTACATTAATAAACAGAAAACTTTTTACAACAAAAAGCATTGTTACGTGGGAACATATAAATAACACACATAAATTTAAGAGCAATTTTACTGTTAGCACACACATTATTATGGAATAGCCAATAAGTGTATAAAACATAGTATATAAAATTTTATTAAAATATACTGTGCACATCAAAAATTCAGCTTTTATTTAAGTGCAAAGAAAAGCCATTATTGTGTGCTTACTGTTTCATTGCTGTTCTTTCCCCAGATCACAGTTTTACATTTGTTGGCAGTAAGAGGGAGTTATTTTTTTTTCCTAGATGAAAACAAGCTTCTGATCTTTTAGTTACCCCAAATCTAATCTCTCTCTCCACCCATGCAAAGACAAAATTGATCATTCTTGCCATGGTGGGGAGGGAGAAGTTGCTAATTTAATGCAAAGTTAAAAATAATGCCCGAGGAGTTGAATGGTTTGTTCAGTGACTCTGGAAATAAGGGATAATAATGTAGCAGTCTATCTGTCATCACTGAGGCTGCCCTGTCACTGACTCCGATAATATGTGAAGATGATGGATGCCACCGGCTTGTGGCTTGTAACATTTAACATTCATTGGCTCTCACTAAAGGGGGCTTTATCACTTAAATATCTTTATTTAATGTGCAACATCTACTTCATACATCATAATTTCAAAGCACTTAGAGAGCCAATAGTCCTACAACACAGCAGAGCTGACTTTAATTTTTTTCAATAACTTTTATGTTGCCTGCATGTTTGTGACTGACAATGCATAAGTAAGTGTCTGATCACGTTGCTGCATGTAAAATGGCGTATTTCACTGCCAACATGAAGACTGGAAAATTTTCCTGGATTCAATTAGCATTGAGGTATTTTGCTGGTATCTTCAAAATATCTTACTTGGGAGCTATGTAGATTATGAGAGCCACTTCAAGTGTGTGGAGAAATTTGGAGTTAAGAAGAACTTGCCACCCACAGTCTATATTCGTCCCATATAGAGTCATCCCCGTTGGCAATGATGGCCTGACATTGAAGCCTCTTGGAACTAAAGTTGTCTTTGTGACCGTGTCCACGTCCTGTATTTACTAGGTTCATGTTCAACCTCACTGGTAAAATCTGTGCTTAGCTCAGCTGCCCAGAGCTAACTTGTAGACATCAGGCCCTCTTATCTTATGGTTATGTGGCTGGCAAATAAATATTCTGAGCTATTCTTTGAAGAAAAGAAGGAAATCTTCTGGGAGACTAGGTGGAAATTTATAATGAAAGGGCAAAGCTTTGTAGGGCCCTTCTGTAATCTCAAACCCAAGTGCTTAATATTACCAAATTTAAAATGCAGTCTACTGCCCAAAACAATTTTTGTCATTGATTTATTTTCTGCCTATTTAACAAATGTTTCATGAGATATTCTTCCTTGACTTCTACTCTGTCAAAATATTGGTATTTTATAGGGAAAGTATCTCTGCAGAAGAATTTTTTTTTCAATGAAGTCAGAGAAAATGTATGACTTCAAAGACACTGTGAATGTGTTGTTGAACGTTCTGAATGTTTTTTGTTATGATTAAAAACAAGCTGATACTACTGAATTGTGAGTGCACTTCATTTTTTATAAAAGAAAAGATATTATCATCATGTAAGCTTTGTTGTCTTAGGATTTTACAAACCATGGCATGTAATTTTCCCTCTTCTCCTTCCTTGTCAAAATATTGATATTCTTTCAGGAACTTTATTTTTTTTTACTGAGAATATTTTCCAGTAAAATCAAAGAGAATGAATGACTAGAAAGATACTTGAAATATGCATATTGATAGGTAGCACGGTCTGTTGATTTTCAGAGAAAGTTGTTTTTCCCCCCATGAAAATACAGTTAAAGGTTGTTCTTCCAAGAAGATTGCAGGTGTCACATCAAAACTCCTTTTGCATTTAACATAGGGAGAGCATTCACATGCAAATATTTGAAATTTGAAACAATGTGATAAAACAAAGGTTGAATATTTTGCTTTCCCTGGTACTACTCACCTTCACTTTAGTTCTTCTCCTTTACATCACAACAACCAAAAGTGCTACTCGACAGTAGAAATGGGCTGATTAAAAGCAGCTGTCCTCCCCCGAGACAATGTGTGACACTCACACATGGCTTGTGGTTGCTTTTTGTTGTGTCCTGTATCTGGGTTAATTTGTTCTTGTGCAGCAGTGTTTTCACATAAGAAGCTATTGGGGAACCGCACCTAATTTGATTTTTATTTTCACTGTTTTCTACAAGTGTCACATTTCAGAGGTTTCCCCACATACTGCTATTGTAACTAATTAGTGTTACTCAGTTGGGGAAATTTATAACTTTATTACAGGTTGCAAATATTTCACAGAAATGGTGCTAGATTAAAGCAAGGTTTATGCTGTGCTTTCTTCCAACACAGATTCCAACATATTCCATGATGAAGCAGAACTGGAAGACTTCTTGCACAATTTGACTGATGGGAATTAATTATAGAAATATAATGATATTCAAAAATAATCGTATTAGAGAGCAGCACAAATGTAGTGAGGCTGTACAAATGAGGCACAGCCTCTATCAAGTAATTGTATGTTTGCTCTTTAAGAATATTTCCAAGTTTCTAAACATCTTACAGAAGAGAACACTCACAGTGTTTCCATCTAATGCCGAACATGCTCAGTACAGAACTAGGTCATTGAACAATAGACTGAACAGCAATCAGCACTCTACTGCTGCATAATGCATTAAGTATAACATGCAGAAACCATTCCCGGCACTGGAAGCTGCTATTTCATGTCTGTAAATTCAAGCTGACATGACATTTAATATTGTTTCATAGTAATGAACAACAAGGTTTCATTCATTCATAAGCACAACACAAAGCCAAGTTTGAGCCTGGAGAGAGGCAAGGAGGCAAGAGGGGGACACGTGCTGTGTTTCTGCGGACAAGAACACAATATTAATGATGGTCAGTGAGCCCTCTGTTAACTGATCCAGAGGGCTGTAGAGGGAGCATTCATTGTGATGCTTCAGACTCCTGATCCTAGAAGAACTGGTTAACAAGTAAGACATCTTTGGGACTTCCTCCTATAGTGGCAGGAGTATTTAACTTTCCTGACTTGATGGTTTACTAGGAGTGATGTCCTCCTTTTTGGTTCCCAGGAAGACACAGCTGAAATTTCTAGGCAAAATAATAGTGTCAATATGAGCATCTAGTGTATGTGCTTCAAAATATTTGTCCTTGAAATCCTCTTAACATAAAATTCTGATCTGTATTTCCCCAGAATACCAATGCACACTATGATCTCCAAATGGGAAAATTCCTCTCATTAAATTTAGTAGTGTATTTTAATACGAACTGATCTTTCAAGTTTTGCACTTTTGGCTTAGACCTCTCAATTGTATTCCTTTTAGATTACTGGAGAAAACCCAAGAGAGAGATGTGCAGTACAGCTCTGGCAGGTTTCCTGCCACAGATTTCCTTTCCTTACAGGTTCTATGGTTTACTGGCTGTCAGCACTGCCAATGCCACAATCCAGCTCTAGTGTAATCTTCTGGAAAGACTTTCTGAGCCCAAATTGGTCAGAAACGATGTTTGTAAATCCAAATTTTGCCCATTAAGCAAGATAGAAACTGGAAGGAAAAAGTGGCTGCTCTGGAAGCTAGAATAAGCCTTGTAATTATTCTTTCCTTTAGGAAAGAACACGCTTTGAGAATTTGGGGCCCCAGCTAACAGGAAAGTCAAGTGAAGATGGAAAGCTGGGCCCAGGTGTCATCGACCTTACTCGGCCAGAAGATGCAGAGGGTGAGTGGCTTTTCTGTAGCTCTTTTCTGCTGCTCCATGTGTTTCCAAAGGTGTGTCTGAGTTAGATGGAAGATCTTTATAGTCTATCTTAGGAGTTATCAGCTAGATTTTCTAGGAAAAGCAGAGGAAATGTTAGCCTTCTTATTTGTTATAGTTGAAGACTTTGAAAGTAGTCTGTATTACAGACAACATGGCAATCTAAGTACTTTAGCATGTCATTTTAAAGTTTTAAAATAAGGTTTTGATGAACGGAATTCTGCGTTTCATCTGCCTCATTGCATTCTTGCTAAAAAAAATACAAAGGAGATTTTTTTTTTTTTTTAAATTCCAAATCTAGTGATTTCCAGGTATAGTCAAACCATTTGGGGAATGAAATGATGCTTTGCTGCAGATTTGGTATAAAATTAATAATTGCTTGGGGAAGGCTGCAGCAGCCTGTGCGTGGGCACTAACCATTACTAAAGTCTCGAGAGTCTGGGTCGAAAGACCAGATTTACTCTCAGAATATTTACCCATAGCACTATCAATGCCTGTCTGCTCCTCTTCCCTTTTTGTTTGTTTGTTTTAAATGCACAAGCAGCAAATCAGCAGAAATTGCTCCCCAGAGGCTGGGTACAATTTATGAGTTAGGTCAGCACTTCAGTAGTAATGTTGCCTGGTTATTTACTGTGTCATCATCACAGAGTAGGGACTGGTTTTCCCGTTAGCTGTTTCTTTGGCAAAATCCCTCTCAGCAGTCAGGGAAGATTAATTTGTTCTCTTCAGAGTAACACAATACTTCACCCATCTCAGGTCCCAAGCTGAAGTCCTTCCTTACTAGTCTCCCTTTTACTGGCAAGGTTTCTTCCAGGACCCTAATCCCTTGAAAACACATGAAGACATTTCATAGCACATCTGAATTGGGCATGGCTGCTAGTGATAGCTTGAGGCAATCCCAAGCAGTTCAGAAATCCCTGGCATGAGCCTTAAGAGATAGGTAGTATCAGACATTAGGAAGCATTCCAGAGAGTTTCCAGAAGGTAGATTTTTCATACCAGTACGAGAGACTAATGTTTGATGATAGTCCTGGGGACAAGGTGTTAAAATAAATTCTGATTGGTATGTGCGTGTGTCCAAGTGAGAGAGAGGGATTAAGGAGAGGGAAAGAGAAACTTGGAGAGAGAGATATTTGGAGAGAGAAAGAAGAGAAACAGAAGGAGGAGGAAGGGAGGGATAAAGAGGACTCAAAACCAGAAATATAGTAGCTGTCTTCCTTGAAAAATGTCTTCAGAACATAGTGACGTTTTCATAGGCACTTAAAACGCAGACTTTTCTACTGGTGAGGGTTGCAGTTCCTTGGCCTAGGGAGCCAGGGAGTCCAAATGATGAGGTGTGTACAGTTAACACAGACCATGGCTGGCCTGAAAGTCTGTGTGGAAGTGTTTCAGGTCTGGCCTTTCTCAATTTTGTTGGGCGATTGTACTGTAGAGTAGCTAAGCCTTTGACCTCAGACATCGAAATAAATAGTTTTCATCACTTTTGAATATTTGATCCGTTCGTTTGGCCATAGTCTAGGAGCTACAGAGTTCTATCACCTTACTCTTGCTCTAACAGATTTTTCTTAAATCGACATTCACCATTCTTCATTTGGTTTCTTAACTATATAATGGGTATAAATATACTCAGTTGCCTCTCAGTAATGCTGAGATACTCTAGTTGATGATATCATGTGTTTAGCAGGTTAAAAATCATGGTCAGAGTTATTATTAACCATTATAAAAGGAAAAAATGAAAAGCTTAACTATAGAGAAACATATTGTATAGAAATATTCAATACCCAGACTGTCAATATCATTTTCCTGACTACTTTGGATTTGTTTGTTTCTTTAACAAGCACTTATTGAGTACTAATATGCCAGAGAATAAGGTTTTTACACACATTTTCTCATTTAAAACTTTTCAACTCTAAAAAGACAGTATTAGTTTTTTTTCCATTTTACAGAGGAGAAAATTGAGGTTGAGAGTAATTAAGTAACTTGCAACGGGCCACATAGCTAGTAGACATGAAGTGGATTCCAGGCAGCCTGGCTCCATAACCCAAGCTCTTAAATACTGTGCTGTACCCCACCATCTGTATAAAAGGGTAAATATGTGATGCCTTCATTTTTCTGAGCAAACTCCTTGTGACCTTCCTCAATATGGCCCATTTCCTATCCCCTAAATATAGCAAGTCATGCCATACACCAGCTCTTGTGTTACTCTGTCACACGTAGCAGCAATACCTGGTGAGTGTAATAGTAGAAGGGCTGTAGTGGCCCAGGAGCTTAAGGGGCGTGTGAAAACCTCCCTTTAGAAGCTTGCCCAGAGTTGCGATTGAGACCTCATGTGCTTTTGGGGGACTGTGAGTTCATGAATGGAGTCAAGTTACTTGCTCTAATACCGGCAGAAGTGCAGTGACTTTGTGAGGACTGCTGGGATGGGTAGCAGGCTTCTGCTGACTTGCTGCTATTTCCTGGCATCTGTTCAAGTGTGAGCTGATTTCCAAGCCTGCTGGAGATACAGTTCCTACTAAAGTCAGAGGAGAAAACAGGTACACCTAACATTTTCTCCACTTTGATCCTTCATATTTTCCATAAAGTGAAGATAAGAAGGGGCGGAAGTATCAGAATAACTAAAAAAATCATTCAGTCACTTATTCCATGGTCCAGAAAACATTTATTGAGTGTCTGCTACATGCCAGTCCCTGAACTAGACACTGCGTATCCCATGGAAAACAAAACAGGTATGTCCTTCACCTCTTGGAGCTTACAGTCTAGTGAGGGAAGATAGGAAATTAAAAGGTAAATACACAGTTATTACTAAGAAAACTGCTATGAAGATCAGGACTAGGTCTTCGTGCTGCCACAGACAATTCAGAGGAAGACCTACTTAGGCAATCTCAATTAACAAGTGAGTTCTGCGGCCCTAGTCCATACCTAATCACCTCCATGTTTCCTCTGGCTTTGGAACAGCAATTTTAAGGGGCTATGCCCTTTCTCCACTTCCACCCCACCCTCCTGTGGCGCTTCTATAGTGACTAACGTAATCAGCCTAGAAGATGAGGCCCCATTCCAGTCAGGCTTCTTAGGAAAATGTCTGCCAGTCCTGAAAATGACAATATCACTTAGTAAGCAATTTGTAGACCTGCTTCATAGCCCTGGGCATGGAGGCAGTAGGGGAAAGGTCACCAAAAGAGGCAGCTGTGCGTGCGTATTAACCACTCATCAAAACCAAATGACAAAACCATAAGCAAGGAAAACAGAAATTAAAAATATAAAAGGCAAATGCCTTCAAAATTTTATTTTTAAAGTCCAGCTGTTATTTGGCTTGAATGTGACAAGACAGCATTTCTTGTTCACCATGATATTTATAAAACTACAAATTCACTGGTACTGGAAACTTGGGAAATATGTTTAAGGTCTTGTTAGGCTTTGAAGCAGTTGAAGGCTTGATATGTACTGTGTACCTAAAATTTGTTAGCTCCTATATAGGACATGTAAGCAAGAGAGGACTAGATTAGTTGAGTCTGTCACCATGTATTAAGACTGATGAACAGCTGTTTAACTTTTTATGTATTTATAGCATTTTTCTCCTCTTTACTCTGCTTAGGAAAAAGTAATTCTTATCCTAACTCTCCTAATTTCAAGGTTGTATAATATAATATAGTATAATATATATAATATGCAACCTTGAAATTAGGAGAGTTGGGAAAAAAAATTAGGAAAGTTGGGATAATAGAGGGCAGTCATGGTTCAGTGGTAGAATTCTCAACTTCCTTGTGTAAGATCCGAGTTCAATTCCTGGCCAGTACACCTCATGTGTAGCTACCACCCATCTGCCAGTGGGCACTTGCATGTTGCTGTGATGCTCAGAAGGTTTCAGTGGCGCTTCCAGATGAAGACAGACTAGGAAGAAAGGCCAGGTCATCTACTTCCAAAAATCAGTGAAAACCCTATGGGTCACAATGGTTCGATCTGCAGTCAATCATGGCATTGGTGTAGGACCAGATAGTGTTTCATCCCATGGTGCATGGGATTGCCATGACTCAGAGTCCGACTCCACAGCAGCTAACAATAACAGCAGTATAATAGAAAGGACTCTGGTCTCGTTTTGGGAGATTTGGATACACATTCATTTACTAAGTGACAGCAAACAAGTGACTAACGCCTCTGAGCTTAAGTTTGTACATCTTTTATAAAAAGTATGTTGGATTTGATTATCCCTAAGGTCCCTTCCAAATCTATGATTGTAATTAGGATCTTCATAAATAAAACACAGGGTGTTTTAGGCCAGACTTTTGGACCCTGGATTAGAACTGTAATGAGGTACTGTCCTCTGTGTATTAAAAATTTGCATTGATTTGAACGGAAATGGATATGTATACCAAGAATAGCCCATTTTAGGACTGCTGCTCTCAGATTCTCAGATTTGCTTAGAAGGGTTTTATGGATTCATACTGAATTTGTGAACTGGATACCAGCCAAGATGGCCTTACCCTTCTGAAAGCTTCATTTTTTAATTTTTTTTTTTTTTTTGGTGAACTTCTGATTGCTTGTAAGTTTTATATCTCAGAATAGCTTTATTATTGTCAGTTTAAGCTCTCTGTTTATGAGCAAATAGCAGAGACTCCAATTTTCCCTCTCTTCCCTTCAAAATACACCACTTAATATGAATGTCCTCTCTTAAAAATCCTGTTTACCCTTTGATCCATACGCTGCGAAATCTTTGAAGCTTTTTTCATTCCCCTTCCACTCCTTTGGAGAATCTTTTCTTCTGGTGGAAAAGAAAGATTGACTCAGATGCTACACGAGTCATTCAAGGCAGCAGAGGCAAGCTGTAGCATAATCTGGGGTAGGATTTAAATACTATAACTGCTCACACTTTGGAATGTAAAGGTCATCAGTTCAAGCCCATCAGAATATAGTTCTTTACATTGCAACGCTTAGATTCTCAGAATTGGAATAAAAGAGGGAGGTCATCAA